CCCCACCTCGGTGTGCGAAGGAACCAAAGCCTCTCTGGCCCCGAACTCCTCAACTTCAAGGGCACCCTCTACTTCCGCCTCAATAGCCCTGTCGGGGTCTTTCTCCAAGTTTTGCTCGGCCTCTTATTGCGCAGTCTGATCGAAGAGTTCAGATCACCGCAAAGGGTCGAAAGGCTGGGGGAGCTGTGAGAACTTTTTGTACCCTACTGAGTAGTTAGAAGAAGGTGAGCGGCCCGGCCGAACCTGTCATCGCCAACAAATCTCCCAACAGTGACGGGGTTAGCAAAGTTCACCAAGGACCGAAGGGGAGGAGTGACTTCCCCAGCGGAAACGTCTGCACAAGAAAGAAGGTTATTAACACTTCTAAAAAATCCCAAGGACAAAAATAGTAGACTCGGAGAAACCGACGTACTTATTGTTCTCCATTCAAAAGGGCACATCAGACCATTGTACTCGGGACCGGTCCCCCGCTGCCAGGATCCACTGAAGATTAGAAGGTCATTCTTGTATCCTTTGTCCGAGTCAAGGAGGTGAGTTACAAGGTACATGGACGGATCTTTGGATTTTAGGTAAAAATTCTGTTGAGGCATGACCCTCAACAGGGAGTAGCAAAAAAGGATATCGTTGAGTTCAACGTTTACCCCGAGACGGTTGTTAAGCTCTAAGACCCCCATTATTATTCTAAAGACGTTAAGGCAACACTGCCCTGGGAAGAGGTTGAAATGGGTGAGGAACTGGAGGAGGGGAGGAGGCAGGAGGAACCTAATTCCACCATCTATGATTGTCTTGGTGAAAAAGGGCATCTCATCCTCGGCCTCTAAGAGTACGGTTATGCAAAACTGGGTCGTATTCTTCTATACCTACATTTGGGGGGATACGGTATCGGGCCCTAAGCCTATTGATCTGTTCGTCTCCCTTCACTTTGTACTTCCCTGGCCTGGGGATCCTCGACGACAGAATGACGTCGGAACATCTCTAAATAAGATAAAAACTGAAGAGGAAGGAAAAAGTTTTCTACGAAGATCCCCAAGGGGTTTCCTGAGGGTTGGTCACACAATGACAACCAGAAACACCTCTAGTTACCGGAGAATAAAAAACAAAAATCCAGAAAGACGAAAAGACGAAAAGAAGGAGGATACAAGGACTCACCAGAACACGAATGAAGGTTTTTGAAGGGCTTGGAGTGGTTTCTCTCTCCAGAAGGTTCAGAAGCAAGAGGGTGTTTGCTGGTCTAAACTCCGGTGACGACTAACTGGTAGACGACGTGACAAATGGGGTCTCCCGCAAAGTTTTCAGGCGAAAGCTCTCTGAGTCCGAAATGGCAAAAATGTGGAAAAGAGAGAGAGAGTTCGTTTATATAATACTCTTCCCCATCATTAGGCACGAAGCACGAAGAGGCACATTTAATGCGCACGAACTCCTAAGCGGTGAAAAATGGCCGGAAGTAATGATGGAGTGGTTGGGACAANAGTACCCTTCCCCATCATTAGGCACGAAGCACGAAGAGGCACATTTAATGCGCACGAACTCCTAAGCGGTGAAAAATGGCCGGAAGTAATGATGGAGTGGTTGGGACAATTGCAGAACCCTTCGTCTTCTTACGACACGTGTCCTCGGTGTTAGAAGATCGAAGGTTGGGGGCAATTGATGGGACATTTTTAGACACTCCAAGATGATGACACGTGTCCTCGACGTCAATGGATACTCGTTGATCAGATCACGACACGTGCACATCGGTCCATAATTCCCCCTTCCCCTGAGGGACTATTCACAGGGATCAAGGATCCCCAGTATGGCATAGATCGACACGCATCCCTCGGTCAGTTTGGGTACATCGGCCCCTAGCGACGCTGGACCCTCGGCACCGAGATATATTTGTCTACGAAGTATTTATACTCCTGCAGGGGCTACTGATTGACGGGTTACTAGTCTAGGTTAGGCTAGACTAGCTATCATGACATCGTTCCACTCAAATGGTGTCAGGAGGCACAAGAAGGCAGAAGGCTCAACCAAATAGGAATGGACACGTGGCATATTGTGTCAGATCAATGACAAAAAGACCAGAATGTTCTTGCTGACACACAACTTGGAAAAACAAGTATTTAATGCACCCTTCCCTTGATGAGACAATATTTAATGCATGAGAGCTCGGAAGTGAAAGGTAATAAATGTCCCAAAGCCCGGGGCATTTAATACACCCCCGCCGAGAGAAGATCATTAAACGTTCGGCAGACCGAGGAGAAAGCATTAGTTGCTCGGGGTCCTGAGCAGTAAAGAATACGAACATTCCTTATAGAAATTGGTGTGCACATTGCCCACCTCCAATGATTACTTACTAGCTACGCTGTCAGCAATGATGAGTTTTTAAGGTATAAATAGTCCTCACAAACACAAAAAGGGGGTACGCAACAAACCCTTTCTCAACCATCATACAGTGTTTTCTTCTTCCCCTCTCTCAAAGAACTGACTTGATCGTCGGAGGGGATACGCCGAAAAACACTCCGACGCCCTTCTAACCTATTTTTTTTTTATTCCAGAAACATCCCTTAGCCTTCCAGGATCCCTCAGGCAACTCCTAAAAAAAGTTCATCACTTCATTGGCCACTTTTGGCCCTCACAACCTGTCCCAAGTAGTAAGATCGATCACTCGATTGACGGACACGTGTTCACCACGGAAGAAATCTGTTCTCGTGTTTATATTGTGCTGGATCTTGCACGCACACTTTGTAAAGCCACAATCTAAGAGATTAGGAGCTGAGTTTGAAAATAAAAAAACAAAGGCATAGGACATAATGGTGTGTGTATGTCCTGTGTGTTGTGATGTGCAGTTAGTGGAGAGACAGATAAGCAGAGAGTTGTGCCTTATCTGTTGTGCTGTGTGCGTAGAAGGAAGGGACTGTGACTGAATAAAAGAGCAGCAGTCAAAGAGGGATGAGCACAGACTGAAGGCAGAATGAGCAGCGGAGACAATAACAGCCAGAGAGAGAAAGAGAGAGCAGCGTTTGGAGGTATGTTGTTTTGAGCGTTTGTTTTGATTTGGGAGTAATTGAACGGAGATCTCATATTAAGCGTGAGAGGAGATTGACTTTCCTTATTTAGATAGATTTCATGTGAGAATTTTTGAGGATGAGTTTGGAAGGCAAGATAGAGGCATGAGATATTAAGAGAGAGAGGCTGAAGTGAGAGAGAAAGGCGTGAGAGAGAAAGAGAAGTGTGAGAGAGAGGCCAGAGTTAGGCGGGAAAACAAAAATTCGATATTCACCGTAAACCGTTAGATTAAAATTTTTGAAATGATATGAACTGTCTTTTATGTTGGGATTAGATTATCCGTTGAATGTGTTTATGTTTTGTCTCAAAACAATCTGAACCTCTCTTTGTCTCTAAATTCAAACTTAGCTCTACTTTATTATATAGATGTGGAGTCCATAGATGTATATCAAATCATATTGCTCAATTTATCAAAATGTCCATTATTAAGGGAATAAAATAATAAATTTTTGAATAAAATAGTGTTTTTGTCTTTAAATCTAATCTTTCACTTTTCAAACCTCCCATGGGCTTCATTAAATCTTATACTTGACTTTTAATGCATTCATTGTGGGCCAGAGTGAGTTGGGATATGAATCCGAGTTTAAAAATTTTAACTAAACATAAAAATTAAGTAGTCAATTGAATTATTTTTCTTAAACCCCTCTTCCAAACCCCGTAAACAAATAGCCCTCCAATACTTTGGCTAAGATTAAGATATTAAAATGTTTTTCAGATTTTGCATTGAAATTCTTAATTGTTTATTTTAAGTTATAAATTTTTGGTTCAAATCATAAATAAAAAAGTATTGACTTAACTAATCGAATGACCTTCCATCAACACTCTGCTCATGTTCACATTGAAAAGTAAGGGGTGCAACTTGATATATTTTATTTTGTTGGAATTTTTCTCGGGTACTGAAAGATAAGTAAATCAGACGAAATCAAAAGGAACTATAATGTAAACAAATATAGAGTTGCATAAGTATTAGTAATCTATGGTATCTATAATGTAAACAATCCAGAATTTGTAGAGATACCAAGGTATCAGTGAATCAAGGAACATGGTAAATTATTTGTCTTTCCTTTCTTTTATATTCAAAAAATAAAGTTGCTCGTCAACTTGCACGGATTGATTTAATTGTTGAATAATGAGTAGGGTGTAAACTCGTATGTCTTGAGTTTTTTTGGCTATGGAGATTTGGGTTTCACCGATTCACATAATTTGGAATAATTATGTGCATCCGAGATTCATGTTGCAAAGAGTTCAAAGTACCTGTAGAGGGAACGGATAATTTCAAAAAAATGGTAAGATATTGATAAGAGTTCTTCAAAATTCCCTGTTACCGGAAAACCTATAAAAGTCAGAATGAAAAAAAGAAAAAGAAATCCTAGGGGTTGAATTGCTCGTGTGTCCACGGGACAAATTCCATTTGAAATGGATGGTATGAGTTTGACAAATGCTCAACAAGCCACTGCATTAGTGACACATAAACGTAGTTTGTCAAAAAGGCCCGTTTTGAGGTCACCTCCAACCCATGCATCAAGGAAAGGGCATTGTGGTGCAGCAGTTAAGCACACCTTCTTACCCTTGTTGCTATAAGCAGAAAGGTACTTTGCAAGATCATCGCAATGTTGATTCGTATCTCCTTCGATATCAAAGTCTATTCCATCCAAAATAGCGTCTCCAAGAGGGCGAGAAGACGTTGTTCCACCCAAGAAATTATTCCAAAGATAAGTTGCAACTTGTCTGGCATCGTTAGCAGAGGTGAGGTAGTATATCATATTAATTGTATATCATTTTGGTGTATCTTATCATATACATGATTAGGTTGGTTTGTAGTACAAAAGAGTAATGAAGTTTACTAGTTTAACCGATGTCAGCCAAACATATAATCATTAACAACCTTGATTTCTTTCGCTTGCCACGATTTTATGTCCAAGCTTAAACTAGTGCAGCCATTGCTGTACGGATCAGTGTCCGGCGAGGTTGATCATTGGAGTTTGGCCATTGCCAAATGTTGGAAGAAATGCCAAGTTCACAAAATCATAGTTTCCAGTGGCACAAGTCTCTGCCAAGATACCCTCATTCCCATTTTGGTCCCAGTAGATGGCAATTCCACTAGAATCAGAGCCCATTGCCAGTAATAGCAAGAATGAGGCTAAGAATGCTAGTGAAATTACCGGCTCAAATGCCATTGTTAGTAGCTAAATGCTAGACCTGAGCAAAGTATGGCGGTTCTTGTGTACAGTGTACTACTTTGTTTGAGTCATTTGCTTNAGTTTGACAAATGCTCAACAAGCCACTGCATTAGTGACACATAAACGTAGTTTGTCAAAAAGGCCCGTTTTGAGGTCACCTCCAACCCATGCATCAAGGAAAGGGCATTGTGGTGCAGCAGTTAAGCACACCTTCTTACCCTTGTTGCTATAAGCAGAAAGGTACTTTGCAAGATCATCGCAATGTTGATTCGTATCTCCTTCGATATCAAAGTCTATTCCATCCAAAATAGCGTCTCCAAGAGGGCGAGAAGACGTTGTTCCACCCAAGAAATTATTCCAAAGATAAGTTGCAACTTGTCTGGCATCGTTAGCAGAGGTGAGGTAGTATATCATATTAATTGTATATCATTTTGGTGTATCTTATCATATACATGATTAGGTTGGTTTGTAGTACAAAAGAGTAATGAAGTTTACTAGTTTAACCGATGTCAGCCAAACATATAATCATTAACAACCTTGATTTCTTTCGCTTGCCACGATTTTATGTCCAAGCTTAAACTAGTGCAGCCATTGCTGTACGGATCAGTGTCCGGCGAGGTTGATCATTGGAGTTTGGCCATTGCCAAATGTTGGAAGAAATGCCAAGTTCACAAAATCATAGTTTCCAGTGGCACAAGTCTCTGCCAAGATACCCTCATTCCCATTTTGGTCCCAGTAGATGGCAATTCCACTAGAATCAGAGCCCATTGCCAGTAATAGCAAGAATGAGGCTAAGAATGCTAGTGAAATTACCGGCTCAAATGCCATTGTTAGTAGCTAAATGCTAGACCTGAGCAAAGTATGGCGGTTCTTGTGTACAGTGTACTACTTTGTTTGAGTCATTTGCTTTATGTAGGAGAAAGTTGGGCTTACTCCATGCTAGCCACAAACAATATTTTGCTCTTTTTTTTTTTTCTCTGTTCAATGATCGAAATGTCTGAACTAAAAATTAGTTCCGTAACTTAAAAGTTGGTTTGCTCTAATATTTGAATAGAGCTATCATTAATTATTGCCTTTGTCATAGGTTCTCATATTAAGTGGGTCCCAAAACATTGCTAAAGAAATTCTTGTCGAGAATGTACATTATTGCACATCATATGCAAATGGATCCAAAACCAACATTGCTGGACTAACTCGGTGCAAAAATTGGAATGGTCCTAAGAGTTGTATCGGTGAAAAACACGCTCATAAATAATAAGACTAATTTAAATTTATGACGAATGATCAATCTTTGAATGAAATGAAGTAAAAATATTATAGACAAGTTAAACATCCCCTCCTCTTCAGCTCCCCCTTTCCCCGCCAAAAAAAAACTTTGAAAATTATCTTTAAAATTTTGTTATTTGCTACAAGAGAGATGTTTTGTGTACCTAATTTAGTAATCGTATTTGGTAACATGATAAGTTATAGTCATTGAATTGATAATAAGTCTCAACTAATAGTGAAATTTATTGTCAATTTAATGATAAAAAATAATAAAGTTACCAAATAAAGTTACTAAATAAGATTTATGTAACATTTGTAAGTGACTATCACAACATTATAAACATATTCAAGGTCATCGTAATTTATATTTTTATTTTTGATAAGACGCCATTATAGAAAAGGAGACGGTAAAATTCGGACAGCGTCTTTAAGGCCTAATGTGAGAGCAGTGGTCATTAAACTATCGGCTAATCTCATTGTAAATGTTGGCTTTTCCTGAGTGAAAATAAACAATAATTTCTAAAAACAAAACCCAAACATAAACGGCTTTTGAGTTTTGAACATCATAGTTGCTGACCCGACCCGGAGTTGCAGTCTCCACAGCTAATGTGAGATGGTCATCAATTAAATTGTGTGGGACGAGTTCGCACCGCTCTTAACAGATTTGAATAAAAAAAATTATATTCATATTTTATTTATTTATTAATTTATATGTAATTAATTGTATTATATTTAGTTCATCTCATATATAAATACTAGTTATTGTATGTGCTTGAAGACACAGAGTAATAAAAAATAGTAAACAATAAACATATTTGTATTTATTTGTAAAATCAAATCACAAACATAGAAAAGAGATAAATGAATTTAAGTATCGGTTTGTAGTGGGGGTGAGAGGTAGTGGTAGTAGGAGACAATAATGGTTGTGGTGGGTGACAATGACTGCGGTGACGACGGCGATGGTGGCTGTGGTGGTGGTGGCAACAGCGGTGGCGGCGGCGACAGCGGTGGCAGTGGTGGCGATGGTAGAGGTAATGGTGAGACGGTTTCAAACACTATTTTTTTAAAAAATATTTATAATAAATAATTTCTAAAAGTACTCTTAAAAAATCACTCAAAACGCACCCTAAAGGACCTATTTTTCCTATTAAATTTAGAGTATTGATATTAGCCATTAGATTAATTTTAAAATAAAATTTAAAACGATCTCAACCGCGAATAGCAAAAGTTATTTTGTTTATCTTTTAAGATTTAAATTGTAAGTTATTTTATTATATAGATATAAAAGAGTGGTATAATCAAAGTTTTTTTAATTAATTTTACTCATTTAATTTGTTTAATGAGTAATTCTTTTTTCACCTAAAAATTTGACTTAATTTATTGACATAATGATGTGACTTCAGCAGATTCATTGGATCAACACTAAATTCCAATGTTTGATAAACTCTACAATTAATTCAAATATCATAGTAAATTAGGTCCCAAAAACATTACTCTTTGTTTAATACTCGTTACGTGTCCATTTAATTTCGTGTCGTTCTAATAATTTTAAGTGAGAATAAAAAGTCAGACGGGGACTATAAACAGTTAAACACCATTATACACAAAAAAGAAAGAGACCAAGGAAAGAGAATCGGAACCCTAGAAACACAAATCTCTTGGACTAGGTAAACTCAAGCTTCTTCAATCCGTAATTGAACTGTATATAATGTGTAGGTGGGTGTGTGTTTGAATCACATTTCGTTTGATTTCGATTGGTGTAATGTTTTTGAAATGCTCGATTTTTTTAAGGTTTTAGTTTGCGATCTTTTAGCTGTCAGTTTTACATCCACTACGCTACGCATATTTGTTCGGCTTCGCTTTGATTCCTAGGCTCAGGTATCTGAAATGTTTATATGATTACCTTCTAAGAAATATTTATACTGTTTGTTTCAGCAGGGCTGGTTTTTTCAACTTTAGGAATTATAGTTGGTTGTATTGTACATGGAAAATGCTATATAACTCAAATAAAACCCAAAAGATATTGCGTTTTTTTCGTTCGAGAAGTCCGTTAGGATGTGATGCTCTGTTTGGTAGAGATTTTGAAAAGTTAGAAGTATGAAAAATAGGAGGGTTATACTTTCTATCCGATGGAAAATAAGAAGGATACACTTTTCTTCCTTTGTGTTTGGTAGGATAGATGAAAAATAAAAATGATTATTTTTTTTTTTTTGTTGACTAAGATTAGGGGTAACAATCGAATCGTGTCGTGTCAGATTCGTGTTGAATCATTACAGGTTTGTGTCGAATATTAGTCAAATTTAATTTAATTCATTTAACTAATTGTGTCATATCGAGTTATGAGTTGCCTGTTTATTTTCGTATCAAGTTCGAGTCGTGTTATCATGTCGAGTCAAAAATTTTCACCCTTAGTTAGAATTTTATTTTTTTTTAATTTAAAATTTTTATTTTTATTATTTTTATTTTATTTTTAAATTTATTTTTAAAATTTTTTTAAAAAAAATATATATATATATATATAAATTCTAATGACACAACTTTAAAGTTTTGAAAAGCGAGGACATGTGTGCTTACCCTCGTAGGCATACAGGTTTGTTTTTTTGCTTGTCTACATGACTATTTCTTTTGCATATATTTTAGTGCATATGATAGTTTCTATTTAAAATGCTTATGATTTATATTTTCTTTAGTAATTGTGTTTGGGCGGTGAGGGAATGGGGCGATAAAAATATGGTTTGTATCTTATGGGCTTGCCTTAGTTTTTTTTCCTTTCATTCAAGATGTGGTGGTAGTGTGTGTGTGTACTCATAATTCTACTTTGTCATGCTAGAAATTTCACTAATATATTGGGCATCAAATACTTATTCTGAATACTTATTGATGTTCTAATATTTGTTTCATATTGTAGTGGGTCATTTATTTATTTACCAATGTGGTGGCTCGAAATGAGAAATTTGTAATGACTAAGCATGTATAGTAGTTCATCCTTGCAATTCTGCTCAGAACAGCTTAATAAGATATTTTTAATCAAAAATTATGTCTCTATTCAATTGATTTTCTTAAATAAGTATATGTTAAGTATGAGAATAATCAACTTTCCTTTTCTTTTGCATCCAATTTAAATTGCTTGTACGAGAAATTGATAAAGTGGTCAAACAATTAGTTTTCCGCTGAATGTTATACTAATATCTGACACTGTATTTAAATAGAACTTCCCCACCTTGTCAACTTGTTGGACTCCTAACTCTCTTTCTCATTAGCTCGAAGAATACAAGGTTCTCTCTCTCTCTCTCTCCATCCTTCCCTTAAAAATAAATCGGTGCACATACACACAAAAAAAGACATCTAAAAAGATAAATGGATTTACATTGTGATTGTTTTGTTCTGGTCCTTACATGTTCTGATTATTGTTATATTTAGCCCAGATTGTTCTAATATGTAATTGGATCAAGGTAAGATTGGTTTTCTGTGTCTACTGATTTATTTATTTTTGATTTACTTGTTTTATATGACTCCTTATTTTACATGTTTAATGTGCTTACTTTTTACATTTGCTTGATGGACACCCAACTCAATTTCTCCTCTGGGGCAATGAATACAAGTTCTCTCTCTCTCTCTCTCTCTCTCCCCTCTTTTATATATATATATACACATAGACAAAGAAAGACATACCCAAAACTAATACACCCTACATTGTAATTGTTTGTATTGAACGTCACAAACACCGATTTCTTTTTATATTTGAATTNCTAAAACTAATACACCCTACATTATAATTGTTTGTATTGAACGTCACAAACACCGATTTCTTTATAATTGAATTTACTGAATTTACTTGACGCCTTATTTTTATTGTCTAATATGCTTATTCTNCCAAAACTAATACACCCTACATTGTAATTGTTTGTATTGAACGTCACAAACACCGATTTCTTTTTATATTTGAATTTACTGAATTTACTTGACGCCTTATTTTTATTGTCTAATATGCTTATTCTTTTACACTTGTTCATGTTTCTTTAATCTCCTAACTGATTTTTGTTAAATATGAACAGGGTATTTTGATTGTTGGTTAAAATGAAGAATTAATGTTTTTTTGGAGTTTTCTTGGCTTGTGTTATGTTACATACTATGGTTTTTGATTTTAG